GAGCATTGAACTTTAGCCTTGAACTGTGCAAAGGCACCAGCTGCCCTTGCAAACGGACCTGCAGAGTCTGCCGAGCCTAGCCCGAGGACTAGCCACCTGGTTGAGGGTTTGGGGTTTTTGGTTTAGGGTTTACGGTGTGGAGGGTGTCAGGGTTTAATTAAGGTTGTTGGGGCTTTGAGTCATTGAGTGTTAAGTGACAAGGTTGAGACTCTGAAGACCTTTGTCCGGAGGGTGCAGGCCAGGTAGGAAAGGATGTCAACTAAAAACCAGGTCATGACCCAGACCCCTGATTAATACACCCCCGCCCCTCAATAGGGATTATGATAGGGATCCTAATATTTAGGCCCTTAAAAGGAGGGGGGTTATTAATCATGGGACTACATTAACCTGTCCTTCATTTTCGCGCTTGCTCTAGAAGGATTCTGTTTTCCACAGCTTCCGAGTCTCTATGCGGAGTTGTCAGGCCGGAGTATGCTAACACAAGACAGTAATTACGCGAATTCCTGTGCCAGGATGACATGGGTGCACATGTCGAAGTGAGACCAACCCTTGGGCCCCTAAACCCTAAGGGTTTAGGGTTTAGGGTTAATCCTAGATCCTAAACTGCAAGCCACCAAGCTCTACACCCCAAACCCCGCGACTATAGCCTGACTCTTAATTGTTGCCATTACTATTAGTAAGTTATTACTGTTCTGATTAGTAGGAGTTAAGACTACCAGTATTACCCTCGATTTGTATTCTTTTGCAACTGAATTCCCCAACTCTAAACCCTAAGCCCTAAACCCTAAACCCCTAAACCCCTAAACCCTAAAACCCTAAACCCTAAACCCTATAGGACCCCTCAACATCCAGCAAGCGACTCTGAAAGTGAGAGCCCAGCGGAGATGGAACCTGCTCCGAAGAGAGTCCAAGTCTGCGAATATGTTGCTTAGCAGCACCAGGTAAGCTATAGTCCAAACTCCTTAAATGGGGGTGTATATATATAATATACATAACGTATATATATATATATGTATTGGATTATGTAGGGTTTAGGGTTTGGGATTTAAGGTTTAGGGTTTAGGGTCTTAAGTCATTAGCAGGGCTGTATATAGGGCGATATACAGGGGACTAATTTAGGGGATGTTGCGGAGATACTAGGAGTTTAGACTATATATAGCTCAGGTGAAGGGTCTAGGGGTTAGGGGATGGCTATAGGGTTAAGGGCTTAGGTCCTACAAGACCTATGTGGTGAAGGGTCTAGGGGTTTGGGATTAGGATGTGGTTTTGAGGGTTGAGGGATTCGTAGGGATTCGTGTTTAGGGATTATAGGGTTTAGGGACCGGGGTTGCGGGATGGGGGTGTGGTGATTTGAGTTTAGAGGCTTGGGGTTGGAGGGCAAGGGGATAATGAAGGTTCATGAAGGGATGCATGTATAGGCTGATTTTTTCAAATTAGATGATACTGACTTTGTATTTGTCTTCATAACGTCAGAGTACCTACAGGAGGCATTGTTTGATGAAGGCCCAGACATCTATCAATCATATGTGAACGAGGCCAATTTCACATCCGCAGGTCACAACACATGGTTCTGAACATCAGTACAAACACCCGAAGCCGTAAAGTGTAAACCCGCAACCCTAAACCCGTAGCCTGAGCCCTAGACCCCTAAGCCCTAAGCCCGAAATCCAGATGATATTGGTAACTTATCTGGCCTGCACAGTATGCCACTAGTCCCGTGCGCCTAGGACAAGAAACCGAGGGGGTGTAGGGGTTTAGGGCTTAGGGTTTCGGGCCCAGGTTTAGGGTTTAGGGCCTCAGGTTTAGGGTTTTTAGGGTAGTTTAGGGCCCCAGGTTTCGGGTTTAGGGTTTAGGGTTTTTTTTTATAATCACAACCCCAAATCCTAGATTGTAGAAACTCAACCCCCGCTCCCTGAACCCAAGGGTCCCAGCAGCCCCTGTCAAAGATCATGTTTCAAAAAGACCCTACAAGTATAATAGGGTTTAGGGGGTTTAGGGCTTAGAAAGGTTAGGGTTTAGGCTTTAGGGTGTAGGGAGTGCTGTAAGTCTTTTCTCAGGCTGGGACACCTTGGAATGCTTGATGGGTGTTTCTGAAAGTCATCCCGATTAATCCCCTCATACGAACATTAGACAACTCCCCTCAATATCTAATTTGCCGTGCCCCCGAATCTATAACTTGTTTTATGGGGAATTGTGAGTTTGTGGGCTTCAAACCATGCTCAAAACCCTAAACCCTAAACCCATATCTGGAAAGCCAGACCTGTGGGTTGCTATATCACAAAAGTGCGGGGACCCTAAAATTGTAGTCTGCTGTTGCTCAAGGTAACGCCTATAAGCCTAAAACCTCTACCCTAAAGCATAGGCAAAACCTTAACCCCTAAATCCTTAAACCCTAAACCCACACGGCCCTAAATCCGGGGCTCTGTCCGCTGAGGCCGTCATCCCCACTGTCCATCGACCAGGCATCCTTGGATTTTGCGGAGAGCATGTAAGGGAGCTGCAGAGGGAGCACCTTGGTTTTGGCTTTGGGGGGGTTGGGTGTTTGGGGTTTAGGGTTTTGGGTTCAAGGTTTGGAATTTAGGGTTCAGGGTGCTGGGTTTAACCCTGAACCCTGAACCAGAGCCCTAAGCCCTAGTTTACGGCTTAGGGCTTGGGGTTTGGGATGGGTAGGGGATGAACTAAAGGAATGCTCTGGATGTTTTGTGGGTTTTCAAAGCCCTAAGCCCGAAAGGGAAATCGCGGGGACCTATTTCTCCATTTCCCACTGCTTTGCGCACTGCTTTGCCTTGGGTGAAAGCAAAGTGGTCTCAGGGGCCAAGAACCACAACCCGAACCTCCCAGCCCCTCAACCACTAGACGGTTTAGGGGTTTGGGCCCCTAAACCCTAAGCTCTATAAATCTTAAACTCAACCCTAAATCCTCAACCCTAAGCCCTAAAGCCCTAGCCCCCAAACCCTAAACCCTCAGCCCTAAACCTAAACCCTCAGCCCTAAACCTAAACCCTCAGCCCTAAACCTACACCCTAACCCAAATCCTGGGATTCCGAAAGCGCAACAAGGTTCGGCGTCTCCATTGAGGTACCAGTTGTTCACTCGAAAGATCTTCAGGCGAGCGCTCTCCTGAGAGTGCGGTTTAGGGTTTAGGTTTTAGGGTTTAGGGTTTAAGGTTCAAGGGGGGGGGGGTGGGTGGTGATGGGCTTAGGGTTTGGGAGTAGGGCTCTGAAGATCTAGGGATTCGCCTCTTCGGATTGGGTATTATAGAGTTACAATTTGTCGGTGTGTACCCTAAACCCTAAACCTTTGTTTGTGCCATCAGGCTGCTTGGGGCGCAGGGGCTTTCAGCCTCAGCCCTTCACAAACCCTGGGAAGATCGGTTTGATGTGATTTTGTTCAAGGGATAGTTAGGGCTAAGCCCTAAACCCTAAGCCCTAAACCCTAAGCTCTAAACCCTAAGCTCTAAACCCTAAGCTCTAAACCCTAAACCCAAAACCATAAGCCCTAAACCCTAGTTAAGGCTAAGTAAGCCCATTAGGAACCCCAAAAAACACTAACCTCGCACCTCGACGGATTTAGGGTTTAGGGATTTCGGGTTGAGGGACTAAGGACTTAGGGTTTAGGGATTAAGGAATTTAGGGTTTAGGGCTTTAGGGTTTAGGGATTTAGGGTTTAGAGATTTAGGGCTTAGAGATTTAGGGTCTTGGGTTTAGGGATTTAGGGATTAGGGTCCCAACCTTTTGGGCCCCATAATTGTGGCATGACTATACTTGGCCTCGAATTCTGGGGGGGTTGCAGTTACCAAAACCCTTCCATGCCCAATATAAAATTTCTATACAACCCTAAGCCCTAAACCCCATATATTTTTTAGTAAAACCCTTTTTGATTTTTTGGGGTAGAGTTATAACTTGCAACCCTAGACCCTCACTCCTGAACCCTTCCAGGAAACTATGGCAGTGGAAGTTCGAGGTGATCCGGAAGCAGTGGATGACTGCGTAGCAGCCATCAAGCGGCTCTACCACAAGGTCACAGCTGTCTTAGGGGTTTAGGGCTTGGGGATTGTTAGGGTTTCGGGTTAGGGTTAATGGGGCTTTGGATCAGCGCTTATTTAAGGGAATTAGGGTTTTAGGCCTCGTGGGATTTAGTAACTACCCAGAACTGGAGTCATAACGATACCTGAAATCATATGAGGCCACTTGCAGGGGTGTGTTGACAAGTAGGCCATGGACCTCAAGTAGGGTTAGGGTTTACCCTAAACCCTAAACCCTTAGGGTTTAGGATTCAAGGGCTTGAGACTCGCTTTAGGGAATCTAAAGAACCTGTTCCCCGGCAAGCAACCTTTGTTGACCAGGATGCTAACCTAGGAACTCGGCATTTTGTGAGAAGATTTATGCGTTTTGAATTGTTTGGGTTCAGTTCAGATTGCAGGTTCACTGGGGTAGGGTTTAGGGTTTATAGGGTTTGGGTCTAGGGGCCGGGGGGAGATGTGTAGTCACGCCAAGGGATCATACCCTTAGCTCCCACCATAATCTCGGAGAACACAAAAAGCTGAAGTCTCAAGACGCTGAGCAATTTTATTCTACCCCAAAATTGCCAACGCCAATCCTCATCGAAGCACTGAAACATTCATCGCGCACCCTCATTTATGAAATGCCTGTAGGGGTGCTCCCTGTAGGAGGGAACCACAATCAAGACCTCTTAAGACTTCCTGAACTCCTCCCTAAGGCCTCCCTGAGGTCTCCCAACATGGTGCCCTCTTCTATGCAGGTAGCCCTTCCTGCATTGAACCCAAAGCTAACAAATCCGAGCCCGCCCAAGTCTAATCCACTGTCTACAGGCCTTGGCCTTTGGCGGCTTAGGTCCAGGGCTTATAAGGCTTATAGGGTTTTAATACAGCCTAGACCCCAAACCCTAGGCCCTAAACCCAAACCCCAAGCCCAAAAGTCTGACCCACTAAACCCCCCTCCTAACCCTGTTTAGGAGCCCATGGTCTCAACCTAACAGCAGGAGATTCTGCACATCCCCCGGGCGGACTACTATCGTGATATTGCAGAGGAGGGCATGAGGGAGATCCGAAATAGGCAGCTCGAGTCTATTTGGGTATGGAGGTTTAGGAGTTTAGGGTTTGGGGTCCAGGGTTTAGGTTTTGGGGTTTGGGGTTTAGAGTTGAGGGTTAGGGTTTAGGGCCTGGGGTTTGGTGGTCGGGGCTTACGGTTTAGGGTTTATGGCTTGGGGTTAACGTTTTAGGGCTTCTAGCTCTCAAAGCAAGCATTGAGCCCTATGACGATCTCTTTTTGGACATGAGTATAGTCTTCGGTGTCTTTTCTGCGGGTTTCGGTAGAGTGTAAAAGGCTCAGAGGTTAGAGTTTGAGTTTCATTTTCTGAGGAGTGTGTGGATTAGGGGGCTTTGAGTGCTGAAAACAACATTAGGGGGCGTCCCAAAATTGTGGGTAACCTTCTGAGGGTCCTTACAATAAGGATTATAGTATTTGTGGGTTAATCTTGGGCCCCCCTATTAAGGGAACTACCATTTCTAGCAGGAATAGCAGCACCCTCAGAAGAATAATGATAAGGTCCTGTGTATCTTAAGACTTCAGATATTATTGTAGAATACAGCGCCCTATAACTGTCATCATACCATATATCCCTGCATATCCCGATGTTGTTCTTGTTCTTTGCCGTCGTCCCCTTGTGAGTTCTTGTTTTGTAAGGCTTTATCTGCGGAGAGTGTGGGGCGATCCTCTTTGAGCCACCGAAAAAATGCTAAAAAGTGAGACATCTTAGGTGGACCCGCCACCCTGTAATAGTGACTTCAAGGGATAGCAAGGATTATATTAGGGTCCTCTATTCCTCGTATACCACTAGTATAGGGTGAGACGTCTAATCCCTACAAAGCTCCACATAATCTGAAACTATCCTTTTATATCCCTATGCACCCTATACACCCCTAGATTACCCTAGATAACCCCTATGCCGGGAAGATGTGGAGCTTAGGGAACCCTCATCTTAAAGCCTTAACCCCTAGACCCCCCGACTACAGGTATGCTGTGCTGGCCGATTGGTTCCCTGACTCATGCAACCTGGTCTTTTTTGAGAGAATCCGGGGAAAACCTGGGGTCATGCAGCTGCGGAAGCCCTACATAAAGCATAGGTTCTTGTGCAGGGCTTCGGGATCCTAAGCCTTTAACCCTAAACCCTAAACCCAATTTCATTAGGGCTTAGGCTTTGGGCTGATACAGCTTCAGGGGCGGCGCGAGCCGAAGGTAGGGTTTAGGGTATAGGGTATTTCAAGCGTAGGATCTAGGCTGCTTCTTTTGTGAGTGGAGGTCCGCCAGACAAAGAATAGAAAAAGTCACCCGGAGGTAGGAACCTGAATCGTGTGCAGCCCTGCTAGACCTATAGTCCCCCTTAAGTAGATAGAATATCGGGTATATGAGGATCGTATTATAATATGCCCAAAGACATATTCTATCCACTTAACTAGGGGGACTAGAAGCCTTAAACCCTAATCTCTATGGCAGTTTACGGCATATTGTGCCCTGAACATGCCTCAAGACCCTTGAGTTCTAAGTCGCAGGCCCTCTTCGCCAAAACCCTGCTTTCATGTTCGGTTCGCGCATTACCCTAAGGGTCCAAGGACCCAAATGATATGGTTTTAGGGCCCGAACAAAGCCTGCTACTGGAATGCTGCGTTTAGGACCTATGGGGTTTAAGGTTTAGGTTTTAGGGTCTATGGTTTTTTTTCAATCCTAAGCCATCTTAAGCCCTAAAATCCCTAGACCGTTGTATAACCTCTAAGAGCCCTAAACCCTAATAAGCCCATATGAGGTATAGTCTCAACTCGTAGTATCCCCCTTAATAAGCCCTATGATACTTCGCTATAGTATCCCCTATATAACCCCCTTTAAGGAGTTTAGACTCTAAACCTTAAACCCTAAACCCTAAATAGTAGTTTCCATTTTCCTTTCCATGATCCCTATA